CTTCACCTCTCCTTCATCCTATCCTACAATGGCAATGGCCTCCAATATCCCAATGTTGCCATCACAGATGTAGGATCATAAGTTACTTTGTGCCCTAAGTATAATAAATACGTTCATCCTAGTGTCCAACATATAGGATCCCAAAGTGGGGAGAGAGCATGGAACGAGTGGAAATAATACTGGATTTGGACTCAGAGTACCTGTGTTCTCTGATGACAGAAGGTTGAGCTACTCTATTTTTATTGTGCTGTTGTCTTCTTGACAAAGGAGAAAGGTATTTGGTCTGGAAAGTACAAAGCAAAAACAGCAAAGAGGGAAACCTAAGAGAAGTTGGGGCTTAATGGTACAACCTCACTGAGTTTAAGTCACTGGCTCAGATGCACTATATCCTTGGGCATTGAAAGAACTGGTAAATGTGACTGTTGAGTCACTGTTGAGTGACCTTTGAAAAATTAGAGATACCTGAATGGAGAAAGACAAATGTGGTTGGGATTTTCAAAAAAGGGAAGGGAATGGTGCCTACAAACTATAGGCCAGTGAGCTTGAATTTGATTCCTACCAAAATTATGGAATATGTTATTAAAGGGATGGTCGACGAAAATCTAGAAAAGGAAGCAGTGATCACAAGGAGCCAAAATGTCTTCAATCAAGAATGGGTCATGCCACTATTTGCTATTTTTTTTCTTCTGTTGTGTTTTGTTTCCTCTCTCTGGTGGTTCCTCCTATTGGTTCTAATTCTTCTTTACATTTCTAATGTGAAAATATGTTTAATAGGAATGTATATATATAGCCTATATCAGATTGCGAGCCGTCTTGGGGAGGGAGGTGAGGAGGGATGGAGAGAAAAATTTAAAACCCAAAAGCTTATGGAAGTGATTGTCAATAATTCAAAATAAATTAATTAAAAAAAAATAGGTCATGCCAAACTAACCTGATTTCATTTTTTTGAAGGGGTTAGGGGACAGATAAATCAGGGGAATGTTGGAGATAAAGTTTACCTAGATTTTTAGCAAAGTATGACCAAGTCTCTCATGCTCCTGTCCTGGAAAAGATAGGAGAAATACAAATAGGTCAGGGGTGGTGCCCCTGTGGCCTCAATGCCTTTGGCTGAATCCAAACTTCACAGAACAAATCCCCTTAATAAAAGGATTTGTTCTATAAAACTTGTCAAAAGGCCACACTCAAGCACCTAGCAGGTCACATGTGGCTTCCGGGCTGCAGGTTCCCCACCCCTGCACTAGGTGAACTGGGCCTGGATGAGTGGTAGAACTCAAAGAATCTTTTTTGATGGTTTCTTGTCAGCTTGGATGGAGATATCTTTGCCCTCAAGTATCTCAACCCTGATCTGTCTTTAGGCAAAATGTGGATGATTGCTTATTAGGTATACGGTAGAGGGATTCTTGTTAGGGGGAAAGACTGGATTAAGATCACCCATGAATTTCCTTCCAACTCTGAGATTAAGCATCTCTCCTATTGGGGCCAAAAATGTTTTTCACAAGGTAAAGAATTGTGTCTAACATCGATAGCATGTTGTGTCTACTACAGTTGACTTGCTACATTTCTCTTTATGCCTCATTTATCATTATGGAGATCTAATGCTAAAGTCCAATCAGAACTTTGCTAGTTGAAAGAACAGTTTCTTAAGAAATGAACCAAACTGTTGTTGTGTTATAACTTATATGAGTCTCAGTTTCCTTATCTGTACAGTGAAGGAAATGGACTATTATGTCCCTCCCAGTTCTAAAGTTCTGTACCTTTCTGCCTGGAATGAAATGTTGTTTATTGACTCATGGATTTATTTCCTTTATATGTTTCATTGTTTTAAAGCAAAGACTATAATGACCAAACTTGACCCTGAATAAGAGATATGAGAGTGTACTTCCTTCCCTTCCATCAGGAAGTGGGAGATTACCACCGAGCACACTCTTTGACTCAGTTGATGTGCTGATTAGGTTTGCTGAACTATTTTTTCTATTCTTTATTATAAAGGATAATGGTTCTCTGAGTAGGTGAGGGTGAGAGAGACATTGGGAGATGAAGGAGATGTAAAGGCAAGAAATTTTTTTTAAATATTTTTAAAAGGAAAGATTAAAATCATATTTTGTCCAAATTAGTCACCAGACTTAGTTTTTATTTTAAAATAATATTTATGTGTTTACTATTTTTATTGTCTAGAGTTTCTTCCCCTTTATACAATGCTAAAAAGTGGTTATTTTCCCAACAACTTGGGATGCCTCTTATGATGATGATAATAACAGCTGACATTTATGTAGCATTTTAGGGTTTGTACACGTGCCAGTAGGCTAATCCCTTACCAATTCTGGTGAATATAGCTCTGGTGAATGTTTTCTCAGTGTGTTCATGGCTTATTGGAAATCAATATTTACAACAATTCCACAAGGGGCTGCTGGGGTGCTCATTTCAACTTTGGTAAGAGCCCACTAGTGACCTCAACTTTCTGGGCTATTGCAGCATCTGACTCATTAGAATCACGAGAGGCACATAACTTGGGCAAAGCCCTCGAAGGGAGCCACTACACCAAATGAATGAGAAAACAAAAGCTACTATCAGCGTTATAGGGTTCTTTTGAGACTTAAATATTCAAAATGATTTGTTTGGGAGTTTGGATTGTTTTAGAATTACCAACTCCTGGAATCTAGAATCAGAAGCAGTTTGATTCTGGTTGTTCAAGGATTTCTCTCTGAAACAACAATTATAGTTTACAGGCTAGGATGGGATACACGAAAAGATGGATCATAATATGCTGGCCACATGGCTTCAATTTCATGATTTGCAAGCAGAGTGAAAGACAACTACTTCTAGCCCAGGAGTTAAATAAATTATATTTTCAACAGGTAGAGTAAGTATAGGAGAAGAAATTTAGCCCTAGAGTCAGAGATCTGGGTTCAAAACTCACCGTGGACACTTACTATCTGTGTGACCTCAGATAAGTCACTTCATTTCCCTTGGCCTTGGTTTTCTTGTCCACAAAATGAGGGGGCTGGACCAGATACCACTGGAGATCCCTTTTAGCTCTAGTCTCAGGAGCCTAGAACCTCAAACAGAGTAGGGGAAAGGGCACTTGATGTAGAGGTCTGGTTCTGCCACATACTGGCAGGGGGAGTGACCTCCAGCAAGTCACTTAGTCTCCATGTCCCTCAGTTTCCTCATCTGGAAAATGGGGCTAACCATACTTGTACTAACTCACAAAGTTGTTAGCATCTAAGGCCATAAAGTACGTTATAACCACTAAGCACAACATTCTTGGAAAACCCTTTGAGTAGGAAATTTAAAATATCCCTCTTATGTACAATAATTTTTACTACAACAGGCAGGTTGTTACTATGTCCATTCAAACAGAGCATCTCATCATTGTAGAAGCTGCAATATATTGCTTCAAGCAGTAGTAAATTTCTATGCCTTTGATATCATGTTATATTTCAAAATATCTTGAGAGAAGAGTCACTGCCGATACACCTATTATACATATATACCATATACTTAGACACGCATTTTTCTTTGACATATTGAGATAAAAATATGCTTTGTTGATGACAATACTTGGGTAAATAAAACTCTAGGGGATCTGGATAAGGCTTTAAAATATAACATGATGGCACAAAGTCTTATTCTTAAAAATCAAAAGGATAAGAAATTTATCCATTTGGGGGCAGGATAGGAGGGACTATATGGTAGAAATTTTGGAAGGGCAAAACACATCAGTCAAGGCCTTTTAACGTTACTTAAAGCAGCCTTCAGACAGGAGCCATATTCTTCCCACGGCCCAACCAACTCTTTGGTGGTCACTTAAGCACTTAGGGATGAGGCCTGGACTCTCCCAGGCATCCGGGGCATCATGGCAATGCATTTAGAGAATGTGTTGACTTGGGCACCATGAAAGATGCAGCCCACCAACATGGGAGTGGATAGACTTTTTCATTTCCTCTTCAAATTAAAACAGATTAAAAGAGGACCCAAACATGGAACCACTGAGGATTAGATAAAGACATTCAAACGACAAGAAACACTAGGACTGATCCAAAAGTAAATACCATACAGAGAGAAAAAAAATCTCAACAAAGGGTGGCGGAGACAAGATAGACTATAGCTGTCGAGAGGCGGAAAGTTACCAGGTTAAAAGAAGACATGTTATACATTTTTCCATGATCAATGTAGTTTAGCATTTTAGTGCAATGCCAACCTGTGCCTTGTTATTTTAATGTTTGCTGTCAGCGATGAGATACATAAGCTTTGGGTTTACCTTTAAAAATTCATGTCAGTAATTTCTTTCCCCTTTATTACCTTGTTAAATGCTTGGCCTCTAATTCAGGTTAAAAGACAACAGCTCCTCTTAAATATAATACATTAGCAAACCAATTATTTATTTGTTGATCACTTGTGCAAAATCATGATTTTAAAAGCTGTATTTCGTGATTTTAAAGATTTTTCAATAACGATTGCAAAACATACTTTCAAAGGGCTGTTTTTTCAGGCTAAGATTTAATAATTAGTTCAAATCAGATGTTCCAGAGCCCTCTTTATTGCTATGGATTGAGAAATGGAATGAGAAACAGAAACTCCTCTCCCTTTTAGCACGTATCCCCTGTCCCCAGCTATTTGTTTATTTTTTCTCCTATGAAAATAGGTATTTTACCCTTTGTTTGATTTTTAAATGAAAAGAAAAGATTAATGTTCTGCTTCAAAGCAGCAGCAACAGAAAGAATCCCCTCAGGAAATCAATGACAACATTCTCTTTAGAGATGACAGAAAAAGTTTCAGAGGGACATTTGATTTAAAGGCAATAGGGAAGGGGGGAGGAGCAGGGGAAGGAAGTTGTTAGCATTATCAAATGCATTCTAGTCATGATGCATAAATTAATGCTATCAAGAGCATTAGAAAAAGTTAGTTAGAAAGGGTGTTAAAACTTAAGGGCAAGAAAGAAAAGGGAAAAAAAAGTGGGTGCTTAAATCCCACCAGTATAAAAAAAATTGCACAAATACCTTCTTCAACATCTGATATATACTCGCCATCACTGAGCATTTCAGGGGTATTGGCTTTACGAACTGCATGATTTAAGTAAACAAGATAAGAATCTGAAAAATGGCCACTTTGGATAGGTCAACAACACATTTCAATGTTATCACAGGTCATTTTTTTTCCTTTTGCAAAGAAGTTAATCCGACAAACAAGGTGTTGTAAGTAAAGCTTTTGTAAAGGATTAGATTGGCTTTTCTTCCATACCTTCATCATCCGACATATCGAGAACTTCATTCATCGTTTCAGGAACATTCAATTTGTGCTTCTCTGTGACCGTCTATCAGAGGGGAGGAAAAAAAACCAAGTCACCTCCATGGTAGCTAAGCCAGACATCTCCATGAGGACATCCATTGCCGTGTAAATGTGTCAGATACTGGCTAATGACCCAAGGTTGTTCTTATATGGACGGGCAAGGTGGTGGTGATGATGGGGTGTTCTTTTTGCCACAGAGCTACAGCCAGAGCTAGAAATGTGCTTAAATTTAGCAAATGGGATGGAATCAAAAGTTCTCCCTTGAGTATAGGCCAGTGGCCTTTTGGGCTTGGGGTATAGAATTTGTAGAAAAAAGGAAAAAGGAAAGAGTTTGCTTACTGGTCAAATCCAAAGACTCAATAGACTCCAGAGAGTTATTCTAAAATAGAAGTTTTTAACTTGGAGTCTGAGATCTTGTTTTTAAATGTACATTTTATAGGTATGAATATATCTCTATACATATATATACATATATTCACATATATAAAGATATTAAAATATATGTATATGTGTGTATATATGTATATATACAGTATATATATATAAGTATGTATATACACACACATATATATATAGAGAACTGTCTTTAAATATAATTATTTTCCTTTGTGATGCTATATATTTAAAAACATTCTGAGGAATCCATAGCTTTACCAGATTGCAAAAGGGGTCCATGACTCAAAAGGTTAAGAAAGTCTCTCCTAAAAGAAAGACAGCTAAAGAGATATAGTTTTTCTTATACTATGTCATGCTAAGGGACCATGCCCCTATAGCACCTCACTTCTGGCAGGCCAAATAGCTAGTCTTTATCTAAGTATATTAAGGGTGTAGGTAGGCTCCAGGTAGGCAAAAGAGCCTTTAGTTGTGTTTCCTGTCTATATGTTTAATTCACTAGAATTAACCAAATACCACATATTCAAACAATGGATCAACAAGCATTTATTAAGTCCTCCTTATGTGCCAGCAACTGTCCTAGGTGCTGGGGATGCAAATACAAAAACTGAACAGCCCCTACCCTCAGGGAGCTTCCATTCTATCAGGGAGGAGTGAAGTGAGAATTATACTTAGACCCAGAAAGATCTGGGTTCAAGTCCTGCCTCTGACACTTTCCATCTATGTGAGCATGATCAAGTCACTTAACCTTTACCTCACTTTCCCTATCTATAAAATGAGGAAAATAATACCTGTGCTGCCTACCTCCACAGGGTTGGTATGAGGCCCAAATGAGATAATTAGATGAAGTGCTATATGAAGGTCAGGTTTTATATAGTTCAAAAATCTATTTGCAATTTTCAATTCAATTCAGCAAAGTGGGTGCTATAAGGATGTACTCTCTTTCCTCATCAATAAGCCAATAAGCATTTTTTATGCTCCTGTTGTGCGCCAGTGACTCATAGAACTGATAGGTTAGCCAAAAGGAGATGAGACATTTATACAAATTATTATGACAGCTAGAATATGATAAATGTCTAGGAGAGGTCTGACAAAGGGGCACGGATTATCTCTGCCCTAAAGTCATCCTCTGGGTCACACTGCTCTTTCTACTTATAACTGAGGTAATGAACACATTTTTCCAGATCACTGATGCCTCTGAAATAGAGTTCAGAAGTTATGCCATATGTGGATTAGACCATTTAGTAAGTAGTGGTAACTGTCCCCTTGGCACTAAATTTTCTAATATGAAAGTTGGTGAGTCATGCCACCTCTGAAGGTCAGGAGCATCCAGGGGAATTTGCTGCCATTACCAGTACTCGTGTTTTAATGGCTTAATGTTTCATTTATACAAATTGGGCTCCTTTTTAAAATGCCCAGACACCGAGGAACTAAATGGCACTAGGCAAGGAGCATTTATATTAAAACAAAATAACTTGAGACGGTATGTTAAGTACAGGAGGCTGGGACAATTTCTTTATTCCCCGGGGTGATGAACATAATTACAAATAATGCAATCATCATACTTAATTAAGGCATCATTTGATGCCTCTGTTTAGTGAGTGATTCTGGAACCATGTGTATCTTTGGCAGGTGAAGCAGACAGGAAACCCAGCAAAGGCTATAGACCTTTTAGTATGAAAACCGTCGATTCTCGAGTAAATTCTCGAGTATTGTCTGATTTGCCAAATTGACATCCCTCTTGACAGCTGCCCGCCGAACTGCATGATTGTAGAAAAGGAATTTTTCCTGATCCCCCTCACTGCTAGTGCCTCTCATTCCAATCTATCATATCTCACTAATTGGCATGTTTGTATTTATCAATTTTCTACTGATACTGTATATGTTGTATGTGCACTTGTCTCCTCCATTAATTAGAATGGAAGCTCACTGCAAGTAGATTTTTCATTCTTTGTTCCTGTATCCCCAGTACCTAGCACCATGCCTGGCACCTCGTTGGCACTTTTTGATTGATTTTGTTGATAGATGCTCCTTGTGGGCAGGACTGCTTTTTCTTTGTATCCCCAGTGACTGGTACAGAAAAGCTTGTTGATTGTTTAGGTTTCTGAAAAAGCTCTTGAGTTTGGCAAGCTTTTGTAGTGGGGAAACTTTGGAAAGCACCCATTTAAAGGTCCCCTGCAGCGCTGGTGAGGCAGCTGAGTTGCATTTCTCCCAGTCATGATCACAAGGTTCCCTCAGGCTGACTCTAGCCTTGCTGGGAGCTGTGTGAGAAGTGGGAGTCAAAACACAGGGTTGACAAGGGGGCATCTCAATTCGAAATGAAACCCCAAGTACGACAAAGTAAGACTGAGTTCTAGTCTGCCACTAAGGAGGTGATGTGAGGAAGTCACTTTACTTTTCTGGGGTCTCCTTCCTTTATCATCATGACTTAGCACAGTTTCTTAACAGATGCTTTTTTTTTCCCTCACTCAACAGTTGACTTTCACTTACTTGTGTTAGTGCCTTTTGGTTTATTTACACCATAATAACTTTCTAATACCCTCTTCTGCATAGAATCTTCCCTTGGAACAAAGGAAAACCAATTAATGCAACATCGAACTTGGCAACTGACTTTCAGAGAGCAAAATTCATGGGGAAGATGTAGAAAAGCAGTGGAAAAAACCTCAATCTGCTCAGTATCATTAAAAATTAATACGACAGTGGAAAAAAACATGATTAAACTTGAAGAATAGACACAACTTGTGAGAATTAGGATTTGTCAGCATACTTTCAGGCCCTGACTGCAAAGAGGATTCTTGGCTTTGGAGTCAAAGCATACCTGCTACTATAGTAATGATATCAGCTGAACATGTGGCACGCTCTAAGATCTATTATGAAGTGCTTTCCACACATGATCTCAAACAAATGCTTTTTCTTCTCTCCTCCCTCCCTCCCTCCCTTCCTTCCTTCCTTCCTTCCTTCCTTCCTTCCTTCCTTCC